TAAACTGCCGCAAAAAAGTGAGAAAAATCAAGAAGTCATCGAAAGAAATCGATTTTGCGACTCTTGTCAAAGATGCTAAAATGGGCATGAAAAAATCAAAAAGCAAGAAGATTGATTCGACAATCAAAGCAGCAATTCGATCGGCCAAAAAATCGGTAAAAGGGAAGCGCATTAAAATGCCGAGAGTTTTAAAAGTGCCGAAATTCACCGGAGGTGTCCTACCGATTTTGCCAATTTTAGCTGGATTGAGTGCGATTGGTGCACTCGTTGGATCTACTGCCGGAGTCGTGAAAACAGCGAAAGACCTAAAAATCGCACAAGAATTTTTAGATGAGAATAAAAGACATAACAAAGAAATTGAGATGAAAGTCGGAAAGGGCTTATATTTGAAACCATATAAAACAGGCAATGGCCTATATTTAAAGCCGTTTTCAAAAAACGGTTAAAATCGCTTCCACGAGATCGACCGCTTAGCAATCATGACATATTAAATTTTGTTGAAATGTTAAAAATTCCACATTTTCGAGGGGTTTTTATGCGTGACAATATTCCCAGAAAGCCATCAAAAATTGAATGTTTGGTATTGAATCATGATAGCGTTCGATCCCGCGGAAGCCACTGGACTGCACTCACGAAAATTAATAATACCGCATGGTACTTTGACTCATTTGGTGTCTTATTACCCCCACTTGAAGTTAAAGAATATTTGGGTGAAAATGTGAGAATCCCATTAAATTATAACCGCTACCAAAAGTATGATACCATGGTATGTGGTCAGCTGTGCTTGAAGTTTTTATATAACTTTTGGAGTTCTATAAATACGGACGCGTTTCCATGATTGTCTTCAGTAACAATTTCGCAATCATGTCGTCGTTTACAGTATCTCTGACCGGCAATTCATCAAACTTAACCGCCACATTCTTCCCTGAGCTAGTTTTAGATGAAAAATATGATTATTCATGCGGTTTATTGGATTTCACCACATATCATTCTATCCCAAATATAACAGATAAAAATAACAAATTTTATTATGATAAAGGCGTTGAGGGGAACATGGATTTCCACATCATAAATGTGCCGCCTGGTTACTATGAAGCTGAGGATGTGCTCGACTATATAAAGGAAGAATTAAAAGCAGACGGCGTCAGTTTTGAATATAAAATCAACAAGAACACATTTAAAACAACGTTCAAGTGCTCCGCCAAAATTGTATTCGGGTTTGCGGAGTCAATTTACGAGGTTTTTGGTTTTAAAGGTGCATATGGACAGCAAATTCATGAGAATACATACCACGAATCTGAAGACGTCATAAAAATCTCTAAATTAAACGTAATTAGAGTGGAATGTAATATTGTGACGGGGGCCTATGTAAATGGTAGATCGTGTCATTCAATATATGAATTCCCCAGCAATAAAGTCGACGTGGGCTATAAAATTATTGAGCAACCTCGACATATAATTTATTTGCCGATTATTCAAAAGCGTATAGGACTCATTCAAATTTCAATTGCCGATCAAGACGGTGACCCGATTGACTTTCGAGGTGAGGATATCACGTGTCGAATCCACATAAAAAGAAACGAGAACTAGACCAGAAAAATGTTAATTTATAACAAGCAAAATAATCTCAATCCATTTGGATTTGGTGATATAAATGAGAACACAGTTGGTGTTAAAAACATTCAATCGCAAGCTATCAAGCGGATAACATCGCGTAAGAGCTGTTCAAAGAAAAAGTTGTTGAAAAAAAATATTGAATTTTTGAGGTCATTGGGATTTACAGTAAAAAATCATTAGAAATGGCAAACATTTTAAGTATTGGCGATCTACCGATGCAAGACAACACAATAATTCATAATCAATATCATACGTATTCGCCTTATACCTCTTCATTCGACAATAATGATGAGATTAGGATCGCAATCCAATCTCAAAACGTATATGTGTTACCATCTGAAAGCTATTTATTCCTCGAAGTTGAAGTTTCTCGCAAAACAGGTGATGAACATGCTGATGTTGCGGGAAGGTGGACTGCAAATTATGCGGCCTACCTTTTCAGCGAAATACGTTATGAATTGAATGGCACTGAAATTGATCGTACAAAAAATGTTGGTCTCGCTTCGAATATGAAGAGATTTTCGGCGACGCCAAGCCCCCGAAACTGCTCTTTAATAGCCGTTCATAATGGTGCTGTATTGAATGTGGCAACCTATTCATTAGTCCTGCCTATAAATCAGCTTCTAGGATTCTGCGATGACTATAAAAAAATGATTTTAAACGCCAAACATGAACTGGTTTTGGTTCGTAATCGCAGAGATATATACTCGTATATGGCAGCTAGTGAATCGTTCAATATAAAAGTGAAAAAAATTCAATGGAAGGTGCCACATATCACGTTGTCGGATGAAGCCAAACTCGCTATGCTACGATATTTGGAGAAAAAGCAAACGATCAGTATCCCTTATAGGTCATGGGACTTATATGAGATGCCACAGTTACCTCAGAGCAGGAGACATATTTGGACCGTCAAATCGACGACTCAAATTAGCAAACCAAGATACGTCCTCGTCGTTTTTCAAACTAATAAACAGATTGTGAGCGCTAATTCGGCCGCGTATGACAATTGTGATATTTCCGATGTCAAGTTGTATTTAAATTCGGAGTACTATCCATATGACAATTACAATTTGGACTTTACTAGCGGCAATTATCAAGAGCTGTATCATTCATTTTTGCAAATTCAATCATCATATTATCAGGGGCATGGTACTTCAGATAGCAATTCATGTGCATTGACATTTGATCAGTTTGGGACCAGTCCGATTTTCGCTTTTGATTGCTCGAGATCAGAGGAATCATTAATTGGTGGTACGGTTGACGTTCGATTGGAAATTAACGCACGCGAAAACATACCAGCCAATACTGCTGCATATTGCTTGATAGTTCACGATAATCAAGTCGAATATTCGCCATTCAGTGGTATTGTTGTTAGAAACACGTAAACAATGAGCAAGCTACAAGTTGTCAAGGAGATACATCGCGATGCGCGAAAACATTACCCAAGACGCCGCAACGTTATGCGCGGAATTTGTGACACACTGCAAGCAGATTTAATTGAGCTACCTCCTGATCGTGGATTTAAATATTGCCTAACCACCATCGATACATTTTCAAAAGTAGCGTATGCAGTCCCGCTTAAAACAAAGACTGGACGTGAGGTTACAGAGGCGATGAAATCTATTTTGATTTCAACGAAACGACCGGTAAAGAACATATGTCTAGATTTAGGGCGGGAATTCTACAATAAAGAGATGACGCGATTATTGAATAATTACAACATTAATCGCTATTCGACTTTCTCTAACTTGAAAGCGAGTACGGTAGAGCGCTGGAATAGAACCCTCAAGAAAAAAATTTATCAACGCTTCAGTTTGAATGGCAATTATAAATGGGTTGATATTATTCAAGAATTAGTCAACGAGTACAATTCAACCAGACATCGAACAATTAAAATGGCCCCAAAAGACGTGGATTCTGATCATGAACAAGAACTACTGGACACTGTTTATAATTATAAACGCATCATTCCGCCGAAAAGCATCAATAAATTTAAGATAGGAGACCATGTTAGATTAAGTAAATATAAGCATGTTTTCGAAAAAGGCTATCTCCCATCATGGACGACCGAAGTTTTCACCATCAGAAAAATTCAATTTACCGACCCAATCACTTATTTATTAACTGATTGGGACGGAAACGAAATCAAAGGTGGTGTTTACACAGAAGAAATGCAACTAGTTAAAAATCCAAACATTTACCTAGTTGAAAAAATTCTTCGCAAGAAAAACGGCAAAGTGTATGTAAAATGGCTTGGTTTCGACAACAAATATAATAGCTGGATAAGTGAAAATGATGTAATTTAAATTGAATTTTCAATAAAGAAAAACACACAACTTTTATTATGTAACAAAATACATGTTTTTTATTTACTCTTTTGCAATTTTACAGATTATGCTTACATCTAAATCTTATATTATTTATGATTATGTCCGGAAACATCTATCGCAAAATTTAAAGGCATCTCCACTTGTACTACATGATTCTTTTTTAAAACGATCCAATCAATCAAATCTGCGCATGTGGGGCATTATAATGCCCCCATGCGAGAGTCTCAACGTTATCAGGTATAACATGTCTTTTATCATCGTCATGACTAAGAGCTACCTTCTCTTGTCTAATAGAATACATCTTATGCAGCTTAGTGCGAAATGAATTCTGGTTTTTGATAATAGAACAATTTTTAGTCAAACATTCAAAATAATCTTCAAATTTAATCTCTTTTTTTATGATGTATTTTTTTACACCCTTAGCCTTTTTTATTTTATCTATACTATTCTTCGTTCGTACACAATACATTTTACTGCGTATACCTATTTTTTTGGTTATAATTTCACCATTCAACTCGTCCTTAAACAGACCAGGCACCTTCTTGTTCACGCGGGGCATGTTGTATGGATTATCCTCTTTGTAGTCGCTGGTGTCGAATTTCTCTAAATGCTGTTTCATATCATCATAGAAGTTTTCGCAGCTTATTTTATAGATAAAACTGTCAGTGTCGGTGTACGCAAGTTGGACTTTATCACCATATTTGGGCTTCATAAAGTTATAGTGAAAGTCATACATAACGACTTTGGATATATCCAATATCGCGAGCCCCACCACAATCGGTTTATTCATGAGCAAACTTGTTTTTTTCAACTCGATGGCAACCAAGTCTTCATCAAAAATTGTGCGTCGCTTGAAATTCGGTTTCGCTATGAGCATACGTGCTCCAGATCTTCCACCCCACTGCGACTTCAGTTTGATATCAACGCGAGATCGCATAAGAATTGGTTAATATATTACATTTAATGCGTATGGAGATATGATCATTATGAGGAGATATTCACTTACCAAAAATAGCATTGCAGAGAAGTTTGAAGAAATTCTTTTCAAAATCATTAGTAGCTCGCGTTCTCATTTCCGTGTTCAGCTGAATGTAAGGCTTGAGCCAGGCTGTTTGGTTGAACTGCAGGACACGATGTACTTTCCTCAAAACTAACCCATGCTGAAGAGCCAATTTCAGCATTCTGTAGTGGATCACATAATTTTTTTTATCATAAAGAGTCAAAAGCAATTTCTTTACACCTTTTTTGCCTGGAACGTGCATATTTTGAGCGCAAAACGGGTAATCATTATGTAAATCATGCAACTCTTTCGGATAATCGAGATCTACTTCGAAAACATAGCCAATATCAGCATCATCTTTAAGATTCAGAATTGTTTCTCGATCAAATTTAACATCAGACCATTGAAAATTATTATGTGGTAAATGCTGCATCATCGAATGGCCATATAAGTTATTGGCGTCGAGGTACATGATATAGCTGGTTTCTTTATTTGGATTATAATTATCCATGAATTTATTATTAGCTTGAATGTATCGCGTACTGCATTGGCTTATGCCTCCGCGAATTCCACGTTCAACGAACATGAGCATGTCGACATCCGTAAAGAGCTCAAGTTGAACATTTGTATATCGTAGCATGGCATCGAAAGAAAGTCCGGGAGCTGTATAGTAGTTCGCTGGATCTAATTTATAAATATTTTGGCATGTTTTACGGAAATTTTCAAACACATCTGCCAATAAAAGCACGTCAGTCTTTAAGTAGAGGTCGGAATATTCACCTAAGTCTTTTATATTAAATTTATCCCAAACCTCTTTCGCGAAATCGTAATCTTTATCAGTAATCGAGCTGTTAGTCAAGGTACTATGGAAAGCCTCTTTGGATGGCAGCGATGTGTCATTTAGTTTTTCCCAGCTGTCAATGTAATCATAGCAAAAAATGCCCTTTCTCTCCAATAATTTCAGCTGCTCTTCACTCAAGTGCTTACATTCGGTCCTCAGAATACGCTTTTTCTCTGATGGAATCAAGGATGGAAGAGTATCCAGTGAATCAGCCATGAATCGAAATGAATCGATGAACCTCAGTTTGATGTCCTCTTTGAATGGCTGGGCCGTCCCCTCAACGGTTTTTGAAAAAGATATGTACCTTTCCGTGTTGATTGGGATAATCTGCATGTCACCCGCGAAACCGTTGGCTAGTTTGCGCAGCAGAAAATGCGAATCATAGCCAGTCAAATTGTGAAAAACTACCGGAATAGCACGATTTTCCACGTAATTCAAATTACAATCTTGATGTGCGGCACCGCGAAATTCACCCGTCAAATGGGAATGATCCCTCACTTTAATGGAATCGGAATCAAATTGTTTTTCACAAATGTGACAAATGTGCGTATTTTGAAAACGTTGCTCCTGTTCAGCAGTCATATTCAACGGAATTATATTATTGAGATGTTGGGCAGCAAATTCAGCAGCAGTTTTCATCTGGTCTACAAACCAATCGATACAGTCAGGACCACGTTTACTCGCATAAAATGATTTCGACTCGTCAAAAGAACATTTAAAATAATACCCGACACTGTAAACTTCATGCTCCTGATAAGCCGCAATTTCTCGCTTTTTGCCTTTGAAAACTGGCACATCAGGTACTTTTAATAGCGCTTCGACATCGGCATAAATTATGAATGGGCATTCAAGCTGATTCTGCCAATTCTTGAATTGGATTATATTTTTATCCTCCGCTGGCATCTCAATTGCGAACTCGTTCTGTCTCATACATTGATCGATATGTTTTTTCAGTTTTTCCGAAGTTTGAAAAAAATCCAAGCATCGATCGCAGAAGTAATGTCTACATTTATGCTTCGTTACTTGAGCGGTTACCAATCGACTTAAATGCTTGATCCAACAATAATGCGATTGAATTTGCAAATTTTGATCCTGATTTGGTTTTTTTGGTCGTATTGCTTTCGTGATCAATAGTAGGTGAACATGATTTAACTTTACATTTTTTGTAACGCGAATTGGACGTATAAATTTATCATCACCTTTGACTTCGTACATGTAAATATTTACGGATATTGTTGGATTGAGTTTTTCAAATTTATCTATTTGATTCAGTTTCATGGGGAATTCGATTCCAGTAAAGTTTAAATCATCTTTATATGGTAAATAATGAAATAACCGGTTGGGGTTCCACTTAGCTTCATGTAACTTTGATAATATGGCCCATTTGAAACACATTTCATCATTATTGACAACGTTTATTATTGCATGTTTTGATTTCAAATAATTGGGTAGATCAATAAACGATGATCCCCTCCACGGTTCATATTTATTCACTTGCACAACTAACTCGCTGATATCAGATAGGGTGAATCCCGACCCTTTAGTCACAACATCATCAATTTGACTGAGAATATATTTCGTAATTTCTTCACGAAAAAATTCAGCCAAATCCGTATCAAGATCTACAATTTCACTTTTTGTCTGGATATAAATTGTTTACTTTTCTTTTAATTCACCACCACTACTCTGTATCGGTTTTTCGAACAC